TTCCAGCCTCCAAGCTTTATGGCTGTCTTCGGGAGTCACTAGCTTTTTCCTGTATATTCCCAGAGCCCAGTCCCTGTGAGGGAACTTCCCTCACCCTGCACGGGGGAAGAAGGCCTCTACTCCGAGCAGGCCTTGTTCCTGGCCCGTGGTATCTTTCCTGCTATATCCCAGTCAGACAAAGATTCTAGTTTTTGATGGCAAAAGCAGCTCTGAGCATCAGCCCATCACTGGGACAGTGCCACCAGCAGCCCTGCCCTTAAGGGCTTTTCTGTCCAGCTGTGTACAAGTGCAGAGATGGCTCCTGACCAGGGTCTGCAGAGGCCACAGTTCCCTACAGTTGTTTTTTTTTTTACTTTATTATTCATTTATTTTATTTTAATTTGACCAGAGATGGACACAGAAAGAAAACAAGCCGCCAGGGCCTGGACTTGAACCACGGTCAGCCATGTGGGAGTCCAGTGCCCTTAACCACTACTCCACCTGCCGGCCCTCCTGCAGTTTGAGCTCTAGGAGTTGAAAACTCTCAGAGTTCAGGCCACCAAATTCTCATCCCAAAATTCTTTGAGAACTCATACAGGCAAATACCTACCTCTGAGTAATATGAACAAATACAAAGCTATTTCAAGTATAATTAAAAGTTGGGGGGAAACAAATGGTTAAAGACATGGATGATGAGCAGATGACAACTCCCTAGCAGGCCATCACTGTAGGAGAAGGAGGGCCACTGAGACCCTTCTGTGTCCCAAACCTACACTACCTCTGGAGCAGAAGCCCTTGCCAGGATAGAACATGCTGGAGTGGACAGAGGCCAGGGCCCAGCTGGCAAACCCCACATCCCTTCCGGACCTGTTTTCCCATCTGGAAAGTAAGGGGGTTTTAGACCAGATCGGACACTTGTGTCCTCTGGAGTGCACTGGGTAGCCCAAGATTTGGGAACCACCCCAGGGAAGTCTCAATAGTTGCAGTTTTTGGGGTTTTTTTTTTTTCAGCTTAGGATGCCATATGCTATCTTATTTCGGGACATGGTTCTGCTGCTAAAATGAGTCTGAAAACTCTGGGCCAGATTCTTCCTCTAAAATGGTATTAAGTGGTGACCTATTCCCTGGTTACCATAGTAACTCGTTTTTCCCACTTCCAAAACAGGGATGGCAGTCTGGGAGAGGGGAAATGGGGAAAAGAGGGCTTAAAGGAGAGGTGCAGTGGGGAGACAGATCTCTAAGCACCTCCATACTCCCACCGCACTCACTACGGGCTACCCCTGCGGAGCACCCGCCTCGCAGCAGCCTCTTCCAAGCAAGCCCCCTCCGCCTTCCCCACTTCACGCGCCATCTTTTGAGCACAAGGACAGTCCATGAATGAGGCCAGCAGAGCAGAGGCTGCGCTTCCCTGCCCCGCCCGTCCCACCGGTCCACCTACAGTGTCGCAGCTCCTTCTTGAAGGCCTTGTGGTTCCCCAGCTCACACAGGAAGACCTGGCCGAGTTTGCGAAGGGTCTCAGAACTCTTCTTAGTCAGGAACCAGCCGAAGTAGAGTGGCAGGAAGTCCTTCTCCAGCCCAGGCTTCAGCTTCTTCAGCGCCCCCTGCCACTGGTTCTTCTCCTTGAGTTGGGCACAGTCTAGCCGCCACGCCGTCTTGGGCTCTACCAGCACCACCTGGTACTGGTACTGGTCGGCCAATTCAAAGAGCTGCTCCAGCCGCTCGCGCTCGTGGTTGGTGTCATCTAGCACGAGAACCCTGACATCCCGGCGGCAGTAGGCAGCCAGGTCCTCGTCCAGCCGCTTGTACTCCTCAGAGAAGGCCCCTCGGGTGCCGGGGTTGATCTTGTACGTATCAGCAGACACCATCTTGGTGCCATCACGGTACTTGTCCACGATGACCCGTGCCAGTGTGGACTTGCCGCTTCCCGGCAGGCCGCGCAGGATGAGCACTCTTGCAGCGTGGCCACCGTGTCCTCATCCTGAAGGAAGGGATACTGCAGTTCAGGCTTGTCCTTGGCCCCTGAGGATGACATTTTGCGGAAGAAGATCTTTGGCAGGAACGTGTGGCTCTTTCGGGAGAAGCCTCTGTTCTGTGTAAGGAGGGGTGGAGATTTCAGTCCAGGTCACTGGCAGCCACCCCACCAACCTTATCTCTGGCCTTGTCTCTGGCCTGGTTCTAACGGGAGGTGCACTTGGGCTCCCACACCCTGACTCCCAGCTCCCTCGGGCTGCAAGGGTCTTCCCACGCAGTACAGTGGTGGACTGTCTCCTCAGGTCATGGAGGATGAAGGAAGTTTCAGCAGAAACTCCCCTACACTTCCTGTCCCGGCCTCATTGATCACCCATTGCTGCCTCCCAGAAGGCCCATGTGTTGGAGGTGCATGCAGAGGCGGGCTTGGAGCCTGTGCCTCTGGCCCTGACTTATATGCCAGGCACCTATGAAGTGTCCTCTTCGGAGGTGGGGTCTCTATGACTGGGCAAAGCTGCAGCTGCCCTGGCTCTCAGTATGCAGAGGAGGGTGAGAGGGTGGAGGAGGGTTACCCAGAGACCTCCCTCCTACCCCCAACAATGGCAGCAAGGGATAATACTCTCTTGTCCGGGATGGGGGGACAATGGCCCCACAGAAGAGCTAGTGGGGGGAAGGGAAGAGAGCACCGGACAAAAGGCCCCATTCATGGGCCTGCCACCACCTCCGCCTCTCGCGGCCCCCCACCAAGTCGTGGTTTTTGTGCCTGCACGACTGAGCGGCAGTGGGCACCTCCGTTCGAGCTCTAGATCTGCTCGCCATTTTGCTGTGTGTCGGCAGCGCCTCTCTGAGCCACTTGTTTCCCAGTTTGCTAAAAGCCACAAGTGACAAGTTTTCTTTCCTCCCACCAGCACCCTGAGTGCTTAGCGGGCCTACTGTTTGATCAGGGCCTGGGCCTGGGCCAGGGGAGTGTGGGGGAGAGCCGGGGCTTGTCCGCGCGTTTCCCTCGGCCCGGGACCACCCGCAAGCTGGGTCTCTCCAGGGGAGCGGGAGCTTCTGCCAGTGAATCCCTTCCCCATAAATGCCACCCATGTACGTCCTCCGGCGGCCGCGCCCGCTCCCCAAACCTCCCCTACCTCAGGGCTGCACCGGAGTACCAGGACAGCCTGCCCTCAGCTCCGACACGGCTCGTTTGCATGCCATTTCCTCCCCAGAGTCCCCCAGTACTCTCGTTCTCTCTGCACCCCCGCGCCCGGCCCAGGCCTCCGCGAGCCCGCTCACCATGATGAGGAGGGGGCGCCGCCGTCGCCACCTTTGCGGCACTAGCTCTCCTGGACCTCCCGCCTGCGCGGAGGGACACGGGAGTCCAGCGGTGGCGCGACCCCCACGCCAGCCGCCTTTCATAGCCCGGGGGCGGGGCGGGCACGCGAAGGGGCTGGGGGCGGGGCCGGCCCTAGCGCGCAGGCGCGGAGAACCGAAACTCAAGCCCCGCCAGGCAGGCAAAGACGCTGCACCGCCCCGGCGCACC